ATGCTGGCTGATGCTGTGGTGGCGCCCTGGATGCTGGCTGATGCTGTGGTGGCGCCCTGGATGCTGGCTGATGCTGTGGTGGCGCTGGTACTCAGGCTGGGCTGTGTGCTCGCGATGATGTAATTGTGTGCAGTACTACAGCATGAACCTGGCATGGGGGCCCTTGGGGGGGGGCACTCGGCACATGTGAGCTTCCTCGCCCATCCTTCTAGCAGATTCCAGGAGGAATGTTGCCTTCCTCTGTCACGTACTCGTCTCTCGGGTCCCTGACGGGGTTCTGCTGTCATGCTGTGCTCCATGAGATCCATCCCTGTTTCTTCCTGAGTGCTTGTTCCCACGGCACCGTCTGACACTCAAAGCACAATGGCTATTTGTCCACAAAAACCATCCACAGTTTCACTTCCGCATTTCATTTTTCTGTCGTGTCCAGTGGACCCCAGTTCGGAGATGCTGGGTGTAAATGAGGTCCTGCTGGCTTCCATCTGGCGACCAGGGTGGCTTTCAGTGCAGGTTGTTGGAATTGTGATGACCTGACAGATGGTCCCTGAGGCCACCACTTCACTCCTCAAACTTTGCAGTGTTTTGGGGGGGATTAGGTCTGTAATGCCCGACTGAGCCTATTAGCACGCTCCTCCCTGAGGGACCAGGTCTGGGGTCCTGCAGGGGGTCCATGGAAATGAACAGCTTAACATGGAGGGCCAGATGCCTGGGGGCTGAAGCCATGATTGGCCTGTAAGAATGTAGGAGCCATGAGAAGCCCCCCCGATCCCCCCCCCCCCCATCATCACACTCCCTCGCGCTGTGTGGTCAGCGTGATGGATGAGCATTTCCTCTTCATACGGCTGTGCTGCAATATTTCAGCTTGTCAGCCATCTCGATGGAGGAAGTGAGCCCTGACAGATACAGCAGGACATCATCTTCAGTGTGAAGAAAGAGTTCCTGTGCACCACTATTTCTCTGAAGCTTCACACTGATAATCATTCCCACTAATTAGCACTTTGGCTTAGCTGAGCGCTTTGCACACCTGCACACGTGCCTGTAGCATGTCATCGGTGCAGATAAAGCCTTACCAAGGCAGTTTAACCCGGTTTGTAGGGAGGAAATGCCTGCGGCAATGCTGTGTTTCATAACCGAAGAGAGCGGGCGGGAGGAGAGGGGGCGAGAGAGTGTGAGCGAGGGGGGTGGGGGGGGGGGGGTGAGAGCAGGCAGGCTGTCATCAGGGAGATCTATTACCCTATGCTCAGTTCTGGGTAGTGTTGTCATGATACCAAAATTTCAAACTTCTGTACGATACCACGAAAAGTATTGAAATTCAATACCACTTTCAATACTCAATACTATAATGCAAGTCAATAAAAAATTGATTTCAGTTGCAATTTTGTTTGCAGTGAAAATTTTACAACTCTGTCACCATATCTTTAAAAACCTCACATTGCATAGTCAGTCAAAGCATGCTATTAGGTACAATAAATGTTCTGTAATCGTGTTCAGAAACATTGGTAAGCAGTAAACATTATTAAAAGTGTAATGTTTATAATATTATTACAGTACAAAATAGAACAGATATACACTCACCTAAAGGATTATTAGGAACACCATACTAATACGGTGTTTGACCCCCTTTCACCTTCAGAACTGCCTTAATTCTACGTGGCATTGATTCAACAAGGTGCTGAAAGCATTCTTTAGAAATGTTGGCCCATATTGATAGGATAGCATCTTGCAGTTGATGTAGATTTATGGGATGCACATCCCAAAGATGCTCTATTGGGTTGAGATCT